ATTCATACTGGAATCATGCTAGCAACATGCTACTCATATGCTAATCATGCTAATGACATGCTAACTCATACTGGAAACATGCTAATGACATGCTAATTTGTACTAGAATCATGCTAATAACATGCTAACTAATGCTAGAATCATGCTAGTAACATGCTAATTCATGCTAGAATCATGCTAGTAACATGCTAACTCATACTAGAATCATGCTAACAACATGCTAATTCATGCTAATTTTACTACAATCATGCTAATAACACTACTTCATGCTACAATCTGGCTAGTAAAATGCTAATTCGTGCTAGAATCATGTTAGTAACATGCTAATTCATACTGGAATCATGCTAGTAACATGCTAATTCATGCTAGAATCATGCTAATAACATGCTAATTCATACTGGAATCATGCTAGTAACATGCTAATTCATCCTAGAATCATGCTAGTAACATGCTAATTTATGCTAGAATCATGCTAGTAACATGCTAACTCATGCTAAAATCATGCTAATAACATGCTAACTCATACTAGAATCATGCTAATAACATGCTAATTCATACTAGAATCATGCTAATTCATACTAGAATCATGCTAGTAACATGCTAATTCATGCTAGAATCATGCTAGTAACATGCTAATTCATGCTAGAATCATGCTAATAACATGCTAATTCATGCTAGAACCATGCTAATAACATGCTAATTTATACTAGAATCATGCTAGTAACATGCTAATTCATACTAGACTCATGCTAGTGACATGCTAATTCATACTAGAATCATGCTAGTGACATGCTAGTTCATACTAGAATCTTGCTAATAACATGCTAATTCATGCTAGAATCATGCTAATAACATGCTAATTCATGCTAGAATCATGCTATTAACATGCTAATTTTACTACAATCATGCTAATAACACACTAATTCATGCTAGAATTATGCTAGTAACATGCTAAATCGTGCTAGAATGATGCTAATTCATGCTAATCCATGCTAGAATCGTACTAATAAGATGCTAATTCATGCTAATAACATGCTAATATATGCTAAAATTATGCTAATAACATGCTACTTATACTTTTTCAAACTGTTTTTAAACTAAATAAACTATTACCAACAGGCTTTGTCAAGCCAGCCTCAAAGTTTGTCTCGACGAACTTTACTGTCTAGTTATATTTTTTATTATTCTTCTGAGACTAAATTTCTGACTCTATCTCCTCCTAGAGCTTTTGAGCTATTACCACCAAACTCGCTCCAGACCTCCAAACTATTCTGACTCGTGTTGCTATATCTCCTCGGACTGATCCGACTTTCGGTTTTCCGAAAAACGTCCCGGGACTGTCGGAAAAATCCCATAGGCTTAACATTGGATCAAACTTTGTGAGCTCATAACTCTGCATCAGACTGTCACACAGACTTCTAACTGGGCTCATTTAACTCAGACTATCAAACTGCCAATGACTGATCACCTTTAAACTTTCTAGCCACGCCCTAGCAACCAGTTTTTGACCCTAGTAACTGTCCCATAGACTTCTATTCAAAAGACTCTCATTGACTCAACATGGGATCAAACTTTTTGAGCTCTTAACTCTGCATCTGACTGTCATACAGACTAATGGCTGAGCTCATTTAACTCAGACTACCAAACTGCCAATAACTGATGAGCTTTTAACTTTCTAGCCACACCCCTAACTACCACATACTGCACCCTAGCAACTGTCCCGTAGACTTCCATTACAAAAGACTCTCATTGACTTTACATGGGATCAAACTTTGTGAGCTCATAACTCTGCATCAGACTGTCATAGAGACTAATGGCTGAGCTCATTTAACTCAGTCTAGCCAGCAGCCAACCACTGATGGCCTTTTAACTTTCTAGCCACACCCCTAACTACCACATACTGCACCCTAGCAACTGTCCTATAGACTGTAATTAGCTGTGCTATCAAATGCTTATAATTCTAACATGCTAATGACATGCCAATCATGCTAGCAACATGCTACTCATATGCTAATCATGCTAATGACATGCTAACTCATACTGGAAACATGCTAATGACATGCTAATTTGAACTAGAATCATGCTAGTAACATGCTAATTCATACTAGACTCACGTTAATAACTGGCCTACATGCATATGTTTGCTTAGCAGTGTCCTATTGACTTGGGGGATGGCTCATCTGACTCAGACAACCAATGAGCATCTCAATATGATAATGAAGCTCACAAGCCACGCCCCCAAATTTATTCCATAGACTTCCATTAAAATAAGCCAAGATGCATATCTTTGCATAGCAGTGTCATAGAGACATGGGAGTTGGTTCATTTGACTTAGACAACCAACCACATTCAAGTTCACTCTGTAACCTCGCCCATAGCAACAAAACAGAGTACCCTAACAACCATTCATCAACAGCTATATCCCAGCATCGGAACATCGTAGAGACTTGGAGATTGGCTCGTTTGACTCATGCTAGCAAACGGAACTTCCTATATGCTACACATGCTAGCAGTGATTAGCTACATGCTAATATTGACTAGCCAAGTACTGTAACTTGCTAGAAATGCTTACTAAGTATAAATGTTTTATCAAGCATGTATGTGGGGCTTGCCTAGTAACCACCCAGGGTACCCTAGCAACTGCCTAGCAACCACCCAAATTACCCTAGCAACCGCCTAGCAACTACCTAGCAACGGCCTAGTAATGCCTTAGTAAGGGCCTAGCGACCACTCAGGACACCCTAGCAACCGCCTAGCAACGCCTTAGCAACCACTCAGAATACCCTAGCAACCACCTAGCAACACCTTAGCAACCACCAAGCAACCACTTGGGACACCTTAGCAACCGCCTAGCAACACCTTAGCAACCACTCAGAACACCCTAGCAACTGCCTAGCAACGCCTTAGCAACCACCTAGCAACCACTCAGGACACCCTAGCAACCACCTAGCAACACCTTAGCAACCACCTAGCAACCACTTGGGATACCTTAGCAACCGCCTAACAACACCTTAGCAACCACCTAGCAACCAGTCAGAACACCCTAGCAACCACCTAGCAACGCCTTAGCAACCACCTAGCAACACCTTAGCAACCACCTAGCAATCACTCAGGACACCCTAGCAACTGCCTAGCAACGCCTTAGCAACCACTCAGAATACCCTAGCAACCACCTAGCAACATTTAGCAACCGCCTAGCAACCACCTAGGTCTCCTTAGCAACCACCTAGCAACACCTTAGCAACCACCTACCAACCACTCAGAACACCCTAGCAACCACCTAGCAACACCTTAGCAACAACCTAGCAACCACTTAGAACACCCTAGCAACCGCCTAGCAACACCTTAGCAACCACCTAGCAACCACTCAGGACACCATAGTAACCACCTAGCAAAACCTTAGCAACCACCTAACAACCTCTCAGAACACCCTAGCAACCGCCAAGCAACACCTTAGCAACCACCTAGCATCCATTCAGAACACCCTAGCAACCACCTAGCAACATCTTAGCAACCACACAGAACACCCTAGCAACCACCTAGCAAGACCTTAGCAACCAATCAGAGCACCCTAGCAACTGCCTAGCAACAACCTAGCAACCACTCAGAACACCCTAGCAACCGCCTAGCAATGCCTTAGCAACCACCTAGCATCCATTCAGAACACCCTAGCAACCACCTAGCAACATCTTAGCAACCACACAGAACACCCTAGCAACCGCCTAGCAAGACCTTAGCAACCAATCAGAGCACCCTAGCAACTGCCTAGCAACAACCTAGCAACCACTCAGAACACCCTAGCAACCGCCTAGCAATGCCTTAGCAACCACCTAGCAACCACTCAGAACACCCTAGCAACCGCCTAGCAATGCCTTAGCAACCACCTAGCAACCACTCAGAACACCATAGCAACCACCTAGCAACACCCTAGCAACCGCCTAGCAACATCTTAGCAACCACATAGCAACCACTCAGGACACCCTAGCAACTGCCTAGCAACGACTTAGCAACCACTCAGAATACCCTAGCAACCACCTAAGCATGCTATGTGACATTCTAATTCATACTAGAATCATGCTAGTAACATGCTAATTCATACTACAATCATGCTAATAACATGCTAATTCATACTGGAATCATGCTAATAACATGCTAATTCATACTAGAATCATGCTAGTAACATGCTAATGCATGCTAGAATCATGCTAATAACATGCTAATTCACGCTAGAATCATGCTAGTAACATGCTAATTCATACTATAATCATGCTAATAACATGCTAATTCATGCTAGAATCATGTGAGTAACATGCTAATTCATGCTAGAATTATTCTAGTAACATGCTAATTCATACTAGAATCATGCTAATTCATTCTAGAATTATGCTAATAACCTGCTAATTCATACTAGAATCATGGTAGTAAGAGGCTAATTCATGCTAGAATCATGCTAGTAACATGTTAATGCATGCTAGAATCATGCTAGTAACATGCTAATTCATGCTAGAATCATACTAGTAACATGCTAATTCATGCTAGAATCATGCTAGTAACATGCTAATTCATACTAGAATCATGCTAGTAGCATGCTAATTCATACTAGAATCATGCTAGTGACATGTTAATTTATTTTAGAATCATGCTAGTAACATGCTAATTCATGCTAGAAGCATGCTAATAACATGCTAATTTATACTAGAATCATGCTAATAAAATGCTAATTTGTACTACACTCATGCTAATAACATGCTAATCCATGCTAGAATCATGCTAATTCATGCTAGAATAATGCTAATAACATGCTACTTATACTTTTTCAAACTGTTTTTAAACTAAATAAACTATTACCAACAGGCTTTGTCAAGCCAGCCTCAAAGTTTGTCTCGACGAACTTTACTGTCTAGTTTATTTATATAACACTTTTCACAATAATTTATTAGTACAAAGCAGCTTGTCAAAATGCATTTAAATAGTTGTTTAACCACAGTGTTTTTAATCAGGACACAAAGAAGCATGCTGCAGTGCCTGAGAAGACCAAAGATATTCCCAAGGTAGGACAGTAATTGAGGATTTTTACTTTAAAAATTGTATATTAAAATGACTGGCTTACTGTAAATTATTCAGGTGTAATTCTGCAAAAAAATAACAGCAAATTTCTTAAAAGTGCCTCACGTTTTAAGTTGGTTTAATCATCTTTTGGCAGTCTTAATGTTTCCTGCACAGATTAAAGTACTTTACTTGTCTTCTGTCTTTTTAATTTCCTTTTAGACTAAAGCTGATGCTCTGTCAAGTGATTTCGTGGCTCCGGCACATTCTGCTCCTAAGGTACCAAAAATTGTTTAAACAGTGGTGGACAAAGTATATTTTTCATCTGTAATGCTTTAGAGTTTTTTTTTTTATTTTATCTGAGAACTTTTATTTGAGTAGTGAAATACAAAAAATCTAATTTAATTAAATACGAATTTAAATAATCAAAGTAAATAGTAATAAATGTGCTTATTTGATCACTTCATAGAATTTCTTATATAATATACAGTGCTTCCCACACATAGACTTTACTTGGGCGGACCGCCCAGGTATATTAGCGTTGGCCCAAGTATATTTGGTGGTGACACATGAATAATACTATTATTATCATCCTTTTACACTTTTTTGTATCCGTCCAAGAAAGATAAACATTCACTATCGATAAGCCAGTGCAGGTTTCCTACTTCTGATTCTGTGTGTGCGCAATCTGTCACTCACACAGACAATCTCACGTGCTCTGCAGATCCACAGAGATGCGCCTTTTCCATCAAAATGTGTTTGAGTGTAGTTTCTAAATCTCCTAAAATGTCTGATATTCAGGTTTTACTTTTGCTTTTTAAAGTTGCCGTTATTTGTATGCGTTTTCGCATTACCTTTTCAGAGCTGACTGCACACGTACAGCCGCAAGAGAAGCATTAAATGATTAATCATTTAATAAACGACTTAGATAAACTTTACAATATACTCGGAGAGAACAAAATGACATCTATAATGGCTGCCAAATATTTGTACACCATTAGAAATGGCTAATCAACTAATTTGCCTTATTTAAATAATCTACACTTTTTATGCTAGTAATTTTTTTTTTCTGATATTTATTTCTCATTTGCTGTATATTTTATTACTTTTAATGATGTTAATATATTACATACTTTACACATATATAAAATGCTTTGGCAATACTGTATATGTCATACCAATAAAGCAACTTTAGAAAGAGACAGCATCCTTTACCTGTCTGTGGGTGCACATGGCTCCAAAATAGCATAAAAGTAAGAGAAATAGTGGATTTCTTTTATTTCAACAACCTTTTTTTTAATAACTTTAACCCATTGAAAAGAAAAGGTGTATAACAGTGTCATAATAAATTAAAACATAGTTAAAAATCACACAAATCCTTTGTTTGTTGCATGTAGTTGACCATTTAAGTGCTGTGGGTAAAAGGTGTTTCAATCTGGCTGCCACTGCAAGTACTGTATATATCAAACCTGTGGGAAGCCCTGATTTATCAACAAGTGCTTTTGATATTTGTACAACAATAATCCGCTAATTCTATAATATCCAGTAAAAAGCAATGTTTTAATAGGGTATCTGTAAGTTTACTATTTTTTTTGTTTGTCTATTACATTCACCACTGTTTAAATAATGTCCTCTTTTTTGCACTTTGTCCAATATTTCCTGTGTATATTTCCAGATTAGTTTTCATTCAGAAATGATAAATATTTGTGTATTTCTGTTCTAATCTTCTAGGTTTCTTCAGCTGCTCCTAAAACCATCCCTCCAGGCCCACCACAAACCCCAGATGAGGTATTGTTCCAGAGGAAAATACATTATCATATTAATAAATTAATCTTATTAACCATATCTGTAGCTTATATATAGCTTATACATTTTTGCTGTCTATTGAACCCTATTTTTAAAACTGCTTGGATTCCACTTGAAACGTACAGATCTTTAAACTCTTTCCATTTCTCTCTCCTTTCCTCATACTCGCAGGATCCTTTCAGTGCTTTGGGCGACACTCTTTCTGCCCCAGAACCACCAAAAAAACAACCTGACCTGAAACCTAAGGACATCGTACATGTAATAATGATGTCCAATACAACTGTTCTTTGATTTATTGCTTTCATAAAGATGTCAGTGCTCCATTTCTGAGTGCTAAAAAATTAATATCTAAATGTCTTTCGAGCAGGAGAAGGATGTGACGTCAAAGAAAGGAGTTCGTGTTGGAGAAAGAGACGACACACTCCCACCAGAATACAGATTCAAAGAGGAAGATCTCAAGAAATATCCTCCTCCTCAGAAAGATGTAATATGCTCTCACAGTTGTTAGCTTTAACTGAGTTTGGGAATTCAGCTAGTATCGCCATTTCTCTGGAAATTTCCGGTAATGCAAGTGGAAGTTGTTTTAACTGGCGAAACCGCTGTAGCTTTTTTCCTGCTTAACAAAATGTGTCTTTAAAATGCCTTACATAAATTAACACATAGTAACATGTCATTTTTGTGTTACACATTAAGGAATTTGTCAGATTTATCTGTCATGCTTTATTTGCAAATCTTTTTCAATCTTTGCCGGTTTTTAATGCACATTAATATTATATGCTTATATAGGCATTTGGTTCTTTTAATGCAGCTGGTCATGACTGTTAAATACAGTTGAAGTCAGAATTAATAGCCCCCCTGAATTATTAGTCCCCTGTTTATTTTTTTTACCCAGTTTTTGTTTAACAGAGACACATTTCTACACATAATAGTTTTAATAACTCATTTCTAATAGCTGATTTCTTTTATCTTTGCCATGATGACAGTAAATAATATTTTACTAAATATTTTTTCAAGACACTTCCATACGGCTTAAAGTGACATTTAAAGGCTTAATTAGGTTAATTAGGTTAACTAGGCAGTTTAGGGTAATAATTAAAGGGGCTTAAAGGTCTAGTAAAGACCATAAAACTGTTTAAAAAAATTAATAACTGCTTTTATTGTAGCCGATATAAAACAAATAAGACTTTCACCAGAAGAAAAAAATATTATCAGACATACTGTGAAAATGTCCTTGCTTTGTTAAACGTTATTTGGGAAATATTTAAAACAAGAAAAAAAATTTCAAAGGGGGGCTCATAATTCTGACTCCAACTGTGTATGTATATATTTATATCAGTGTCATGTAATAATTGATAATTTGCTGCTGGATTCTGTGATTTCATTGGTTGACGTTTCTTATATCCCCAGCCTTCCTTAGATGCTAATGAAGCTCTGGATATTCTGTCTGGGGATTTTACAACTCCTTCCGCACCATCGGCTGTTTCCCCTGCCTCTAAATCCTCTGCCAAGGCGAGTCCACATCAAATGTCTTAATTGTTTCTCTTAAACAGCAGTGAGATGCAAAAATTGTGAGCTTCTCTGTAAGGTTGCATTTATTTGATTAAAACTGCTGCAAAAAATGCTACTGTAAGATTGTGAAATATTTCAAATTAAAATAAGTTAAACATTTCTGTTATGAAGGTGTATTTTCAAATGTGATTTATTCCTATGATTATTATTATACATCATGCAAAATTATTCAAAAATGTGCATTTGCTCTTTGAGAAGCATTTCTGATTAGTATCATCAATGTTGAAAATGGTTGTGCTGCTTAATATTTTCGTGAAAAGCTTTTTTTGTGATTCTTTGCTTGTTAATAAATACTGAATCATTTTCATTTTAATTCTAACAATTTAACTTAATGCATACTTAATGAATTTTTACAAACACTGTTTTTTAAAATAATGTTTATATTCAACCTCTATTTTGTCTCTTTCTCACTCTCAACTTTAGTCTTCAGATTCAGCTTTAGATGCTCTTGCTGGTGATTTCGTCGCTTCTTCTTCTGCGTCTTCAGTTCATTCTGCCGTCTCTGGCCCCCCACGCTCCGACAGACTGGTGAATTTCTTCTCTATTGACATCTATACACATTCGCACTTTTCTTCGATACTGACTTTCATTTCTGCTGTTTGTCAAAGTTGTCAGACGGAACCTCATCAGCTCTAGATGCCCTGTCAGAAACTCTGGGAGACATTAAAGCAGCCCCTGAACCCGCCCCTGTCCTACCTAAAACTGTCGTTAAGGTAACACCCATTCAGTAAACCACTTCACCTGTATTTATATGGGACAGTGTTTTATTTTTGTGTATTATTGTGAAAAAAATCCCCCATTAATCTTTTCCTAAAATTCTTAGTTGCTGAATTTTAGCACACTATAAAACCCAACAGGCAACTTTATCAAATGAAATGAGTGTAGTTAACTCAAAACTTACTCACTTAAGTTAATTCTACTCATTTAAAAAGAGTTTGAACTCAGTGTTGAAGGTAATGAGTTATTAAATACCTCATTACTTCAACTTAAATGGAGTAAGTTCACAGTACTCATATAGATTAGTTTAACTCAAATGGTTTGCAGCAATCACTTTCCTCAATTGGTTTGAGTTGCCTTAACTTTATAGTACTCAGTTGGTTTGAGTTCTCTTCATTTATTGGGGTTTACTGTGCTCAAATTGCTTTGTTTACTCAAATGGATTAAGTTCACAGCACTCATTAGGATTCGTTTTTGAACTTAAATGGTTTGTTGCAATCGGTTTCTTCAAATGGTTTGAGTTACCTTAACTTATTGGATTTTACAGTGTAATCTTCTGTAAAATGAATATTGCCTAATTAATGGTAGCCAGACATGTCGTAACATGTTTTGTATAACAAAATGACCATCCAATCACATTTTACATTTTAAAGTGAGTGAAAGCAGGATGTCATAATTATGTGTCATAGGTATAAACATAAGAAGGCATAATGAAAGTAACAGTACAAGTTCTTGAAATGTATTGCATCTCAAATAATCACTGAATGAATGTTTCAACTGCAGAACAATGTTAAAATCATCTTATTATTGGTTTATAGGGAAAAGTAATACAGAGAGAGGAACATTTGCTGCATATGTGCATGATATTATAAATAATATATGTGTCCATTCAGTATTCCACTTTGAAAGTTTAAGTCAACAATAACTAATAGGCAAGACAAGGCATACTTTATTTAAAGAGCACAATTTTACACAATCGTAGTTGATCCAAAGTCCCTTACAACAATACAAAAAAATATATACAAAATTGTGTTAAAAATATAATTATAAAATGTATAAACTGAAATACAGATATAAAATAACATGCATGCATCACTCAAAGCCTAGAGAGTAAAAATAAGCCTTTAAATTAGATCTATAAGCATCCAATGCGGGATAAATTCTGATGTTCAGAGAGAGACGGTTCCAGAGCCTTGGGGCCGCAACACTGAAAGCTTGATCACCTTTTGATTTGCAGCTAGACTGAGTGACATTGATAATAGGACCTTAATGCCTTATAGGCTGCATATGGCCTAATACGAATAACTAACCATGCCTTTCTGTACATCAGGACCTATTTGGCACATTATATTTTCTAGCTGTATTAAACAATTAGAGATATGATATACTAAAGACACATTAAAACATAAGTGATGAAAAGATTAGAAGCCTTATTGTATTTGCAGTCATTAATAATAGGATGCTACATTTATGAGAGGATTTAATTGAGTGGTCCAGTTTGCAGTAGTCATTTCATTTACATGGGATTTGCATTGTTTGAAGTCCCCATTAAATAAAAAAAAGTTTTAATGCTTTTATTATGAATGGTACTGATAAGATTATCTGGCTTAGATATATACAAAACATAAAGAAAATCAGAAAATCCCTCTGTGTTTTGTATTTTCTGACCAATCAAATGCACTCTAGGATCTGAAGATCCCGCCCCTTCAAGATGCTGAAGCTGCAGCTGAAATCAGTCGCTTGTTCACACAATTACTGTTTTCTGTGCGTTGAATGATGCATAGTGCACTATAGACCAAAACAAAAACAATTGTCCCAACCCATTTCCTGTTTTACATTTTTAATTTCTATAGCTTCCGAGAATAGAAAAAAAGAGCCACATATTGATAAATAATGTTATTAAAGCTGTTTTAACTTGAAGTTACGATTGAATTGTTACAGCTATGAAATAGTTTGACAACAAGCAGGATATGTTCATGGGCCAATGACATGACCACATTGAAATGGTCTATACATGGGATAAATCATTTAGTGTGCTTAAATATGTAAAGGTGGAAAAGTTCTTACCATCTCTCTTCCCACCACAGGAGAAGACGGTCATAGAAGAGAGAGTGAGTAAACCGGGTGAGAGAGACGACTCCCTTCCACCAGATCAGCGGTTCACTGCGGAGGATCGCAAGGTGACTTTACTTCCTTCATGTTCCCTTTCACTGGATTTCATTTATAGATGATTAAAACCATAGAAATGCCCTACTTATTCTTTGGTCTTCTTCACAGGCATTTGAAGAAGCAAAGAAGAAAGACGCCAAACCAAAACAGGTACTCAGTGAATTATTGAGTGTAAACAAGATGTTGAACAGGACAGGATGTAGAAAAATGAGATGAAATTTAAGCAGTGTGTGGTTTTAATGTTTTAAAAAATAATAATAATAATAATAATTATGGAAATATTGCTGCATTATCATTCGGCTTAATGGACATAAATTATTAAATTTTAATTAAATTTTTTGACATGTATTTTATAAATATGTTTTTAAAAAATGAATAGTTATAAATGGGTCACACTTTACAATAAGGTTCATTAGTTAATGTTTAATAATTAATGCATTTACTAACATGAACAAACAATGAACAATACATCTACTACTGTATTTGTTCATAATAGTTAACGTTAGTTAATGAAAATACAGTAGTTCATTGTTAGTTCATGTTAACTCATGGTGCATTAACTAATGTTAACAAGCATGGACTTGGATGTTAATAATGCATTAGTAAATGTTCAATTATGATAATAAACGCTGTACATGCATTGTTCATGATTAGTTCATGTTAGTAAATGCATTAACTAATGAACCTTAGTGTAAAGTGTTACCTATAAATCTAACTCAATGAGGCTTTTAGCTTGTGTTCCACAATGGTTAATATTGGGGCCAATAATCTTCAGCATGAACATTTAATGATTTAAAACACAGTAATAACCTTCATAATAGCAATGTATACATGTTAAAATATATACAAGTCCTGCTATAGTGGCATCTTATTATTCAGAAAAGGAGAGAAAGCTCATTTTGAAAAAATGACTGTTAAAAATATGTATTAAACCTGAAATCTACAGGTATAAGTTGACAAGTGCAACAAAAGAAAAACTTTTGTGTGTTTTAATATTTAAATAACTTGTTGAAAATGAAACAACACCCTTATTCTGACCTGTAATTATTAAAATATGCAAAAAAAAATAATAATTATAGTTATAAATTTGACTGAATGAGCCTTTCTACTGATGTTCCACAAGGGTCGATATTAGGCCCAGAACTCTTCAGCATGTACATTAATGATTTAAAACTCTGTAAAAACCTTCAGAATAGTGATGCATATAAATAAAATATATGCAAGTGTTATTATAGTGGCAATTTATGATTCAGTGCTGGAAGAAAAATGAGTTTTGAGAAAACAGCTTTTAAAAATATTGATTATAACTGAAATCTACAGACATAAATTGATGGTACAACAAAGAAAAACTTAAGTGTGTTATTTTGTTAAAGTGTATAGCTTTTGTTGAATATGAAACAACTTGCTTATTCTGAAATGTTTTTATTAAAATATTTATTAAAAAATGATAATCGTAAATCTGACTGAATGATCGTTTCAACTGGCTTTCCACAAGTGTCGATATTGGGCATGTACATAGCATGTACATAGCATGTACAACAAATGTTTCACCAAGCGAGCATATAAAATTGTATATTTTTAGAGAGTATTAACATGACAAATGGGTAAAACCTAGTAGTTTAAAGAAAATGGCAAAGTATAAATATTTAAAATGATAATTAATTAGCATTTTGTGGCTGCAATGTGATCCTTAAGTAGTAATCATGTCTTCATATATGTATTTATTTTGCTATATAAACTACTTGTTACACTAAATGACATTTTATAGGTCTTTTAAAATAAACTTTTTAATTTTTTTGTTTCTTCAGTCATAAAAGCATTATATTTACTGAAACAAACAGCTACAAATCCTTAAGCCAGACAATATTTAAGGGTGTTTATCAAGACACTACAATCCTGCTCCTATAACCTATAAAGAACAATGCCTTTTACACAAATGTCCTTGGTTTTTCAGTAGTCATTGCACATTTTTGACTCTCCATCTCTGTCTCTCAGCCATCAATGGACGATTCAGCGGCTCTGGACATGTTGTCTAGTGATTTTTCAGATGTACCGACTGTAAAGCCCACTGTATCTGATGGCAAAAGCTTCACCCCTGAACCAACACCACCAACCTTTAAGGTACCGCAAACAAACCTGCAACAATGTTCCTCTAATTTCTTCACACAAATAACAGCATCTTCGTCTGTTTACAGGCAACCGGTCCGGTTTTAGACAAACTGGCAGACAACGTGCTTTCCAACCTGACTGACCCCAAAGCCAAAGACAGCAAAGCAAAGGTAACGGAGAGCTGAAGCATCACCTAAATCACTCCAAATCAATACGGTCGAAAAATAAACTAATAATCATCGCCATCATTCCCCGATTGATTGATTGATTGATTGATTGATTGATTGATTGATTGATTGATTGCATTAGGAATTGCAAACCTTTCTTGCATTACACAAATTATAAAATGTTTGCAGTTCCTAATTCAATCAATCCATGGTGATGATTAATAGTTAATTTTCTACCCTTTTCTGCATATTTAATGAGCCATTATTTAACTAAATATGTGCTTACTTTGCATACATTTGTAGCATGGAAATCTGAACACTGGATGAAGTCATGTTTTTCACTCTATAATACAGAAAATACTGTGAAATATCAGGATTTTTATTACTGTGAACTGCAAGGATTTTTTATTAAAATATGGAAATGCATGAACATATATCTTTGTTAAAAACCTTCAGAATACAGATCTGAATAACATTGTGAAGTTTGTTGTACAGTACATAGCCTTTAAACTCATGTATTTGAATTGCCGTCATATTTTATTTTAGGGTACATTTCTCATTGTTAATAAACAATTAAAGGGATAGTTCACATAAAAATAAAAAATTTACTCCATATTTACTCACCTTCAAGTAGTTTCAAATCTTTTTGAGATAATTGTTTTTCTGTTTAACACAGGAGAAGATATTTGGTAGAATGTTAGAAACCTGTAACCATTGACTTCAATTGTAGGAAAAACAAAAACAATCAAAGTCAATGGTGACAGGTTTTCAACATTTTTCTAAATATCTTTTTTTTTATCTAATAATATCTAATAATATTTTATCTAATCTAAATATCTATTTTTTTTGTCTTCAACAGAAGATAGAAACTCAGACAGGTTTGTGACAAGTAAATGATGAATAAATGATGACAGAACTTTCACTTTTTGGTTAATCGATCACTTAAACTGTCAGTTTTGACTCAAACTTCTAACTTGCTGCTTATTAATAGTCGTAGTAGTTGGGTTTAGGTACTAGGATGGATTAGGGACTTTGAGTAATATCATAGAGAATATGTATTTTATAATAACAGCCAAAATCTAGGCAGATAATAAGCCACTATTTTATTAGTGAAAATCGACACTTAAACTAAAGTGCTACCATAATTACTATAAACTGACACAAATTAATGAAATGCATCAAGAGAAAAGCTTAAAGGTGTATTTTCAATGTGTTCATGCTTACATTAGACCAGTGGTTCTTAAACCTTTTCACCAAATACCACCTCAGAAACAAGTTGTCTCTCCAAGTACCACCATAATGACCAGTGTTAAAATGCAGTAGCGTAGCAGGCCTAATTAAGCAGCTACAGCTCTGCACAGTTCAAAAACGAGGCAGATTAAGTCCTATTATTATGAAAATGTATTATTGTCAGCCACTTTAAACATTATAAATAGTTTGAACATTAACACTGCACTGTGCCTGCAGATTTAAAAATAAGTAATGTTTAAATTAAAATGTGCTTTTAAAAGTTAATTAAAAATGGCACTGTTCTTAAAAAGTAAAAAGAGAACTGCTCTACTTAAATGTAAAGTATTAACAAATAGTAGCCCATTCATCAAAACCTGGACATGTTCCTTGGACCTCATAAATATAGGCTATATGTCGTCTTATTCATATATGAACTCTTTTTGATAAGTTTTGAAATATATGTTGCATGTATGTATGACTTATTTGTATATCATTAAAATCTAAACATGCACTTGTATTTTAAATATATTATTTGGATTTATTTATTTAAATTATAAATTAGATCTTTCACATTGATGTTATCGTATGCGTCAAAGGGTTGAAAGTGTGTTAATTTTTTTACTTAAATTATTCAGCGTTTACTCTGCGTACCACTTGAAGAAAGCCTGAATACCACTAGGGGTACACGTACCACAGTTTGAGAACCACTGCATTAGACAAAAAAGTCAAACTAAATGAACCAAAACTGTCAGGTGCATGAAAAACAGTATTTTAGCTTGCAGTATCTCACCTTTAAAGACATAAACCATTAAAAGAACTGTAAATGAAAAAGTAGGACAGAAGTGTTTGAGCAGCACCAGGTTTTTCCCCCTAGACCCTTCATTCTGGTTGATACCAGTTTATATCAGGGGTCTCTATCTGATTACAGGGAAAGGGGGCGAAACCAAAGTCTAAACCAAAGGTAGGTGTGTTTGGAAATCAAATGCATGAAGTTGGTTCTTATACAGCGGCTTTCACTCATGAACGGCAGCATGAAGAAACACAAACTCAAAAAAACGAAACATTTCATCAGCTGAAACACATCTCATGGCTGTATATTTGCAAATTCATTTAAATATGTGGCAAGGTTGTGTTGTTTGAGCATTGCGGCTGCTTTGATACACACAGGCTTTGCATTTATAAACCATACTTCATCCGGGTGTTCTGATTATGAACACAGGGTGGTGCTACACAGCAAAGCTGACTCTCATTTCACCAAACTGAAACGTCTGATTTTTGTGTCCCAGAAACAGGCAGTGGAAGACTCTTCAGCCACAGATCTGCTGTCCAGTAAACCGAGCTCAGATGTGGTGCCTTCAGCTTCCACAAAGGCTGGAAAAAGATAAATTACAAGTCTGTATCTTTCAATTTTACTTTCAAGTTACATTTTTCTTTAAGTTTGGGGTTAAAGGGATAGTTCACCCAATGCTGAAAATTATTTAGTTAATTTAATCACCCTTTAATTGTTGCAAACCTTCTGTTGAATACAAATGGAGATATTTTGAAGAATGGTGGAAACCTGTAATCATTGATTTCATAGTGTAACCATTGAACTAAAGTATTTATTTGTCCTACTATGCAAGTCAATGGTTACAGGTTTTCTAAAAAATATATCTCTGTTTTGTGTTTGTCAAAGTTTTGGAACCACTTTGGGGTGAGTAAATAGTGTGTAAATAAATTTCTGAGTGAACTATCCCTTTAATGTGTTTTTTCTTGTTTGATTGTGGGGAAATGTCATTATTTTTACTTCACATGGATGCGTTATATCGACCAGAAGTCACAGTGAAGTCCATTTTAATGTTTAAATGGCCATTTGAAATTTCTGCAATATATATATAAAAGATAGAAAATGGTCATTTTATATATCACAATATTACTATTTTTTAAGCATTTTAATCAAATAAACATAACCTCTGTAAGCTAAAATATTAAAAAAATAAAACAAATGCAAAAATTGTATGTCTAGATAATTAAATATAATAAAATAATTGTTATTAGTAATGATGCTAAGGATTCAGCTTTGCATCACAGAAATAAATTGCATTTTAAATTTATTAGCATTATTAAATTGTAATAATATATTTTTTTCAATTTTAACTTTTTGAAGCATTTTAATCAAATAACTAAATCTTGGTGAGCTTCCTATGCTAAGATTTAAATGCTAAAATGCCATCCCAAAACGTTTAAAAGTCTAAATAAAATAATGAATGCAAATAACAATGTAATTGTAATGAGAGACACTAGACAACATAGATGTAGGATCCACGACCTGCAGTTTATTAAAGCAAAGTCTTGCAGGCAATGGTCAGGAACAGGAGCATAAGGGAAATCCAATGATTGTTGTCAACATACACAGGCAAAGTATCAGGCGTAGGTGGCAAAGAATCAAAAACGGAAAACAGACAAAGATCAAAATACGGCAAGACAAACAGGAAAATGATTTGTAGTGCTTCACTAGGAAAACAAGACTTCCCAAAGTGTGTTTGTGCAGTGAATATAAAGTTCAGCTAATAAGTCCGTGATGAGTTGCCAGCTGTGTAAGTGTAATCAGTGGGGAACAGGAACCGGTGTGTGTGTGTGGTGCTTGCAGGGAGTTGTAGTTTGTTACTGTTGCATGTGTGTGGTTCTCCAGCGATCTGTAACTGCCAGATTGCCAGTGATCACAACAATAATACATATTTGTCAAGGTTTAACCTAATCAGTGTGATGTATTCATTTATTTTTCAGATTTATGATGTGTCATCCCTAACACAAGAAACCATTAAAGGGAGCTGCTCGGACAAGAAAAATATTTTATGATGGACATGGAATGAAACAAAAATGAAAAAATTATATATATATATATAGAACTGCACAGAGACACTTACACGTTCTTAGAGCCCCCTTCTCTTTTCTTCTAAAGCAAAGCAAAAATCATAGCGATCATTAATCTCTTCATGGCTGACAGAACATGTATATACAGAATGGTGTTTACATCGAGTGCATGTATGGTTCTCTGGTCATTATTCAATGGTAAAAAAAAATAAACTATGCCATGTGTGTGTGTATATGTGTGTGTGTGTGTGTGTGTGTGTGTGTATATATATATATATATATATATATATATATATATTAATCATCTATACTGGGGGTCTCTAGCATCTTCCTGTGTGAAGATCTGTGGAGACCCTTGTGTACAGAGATGGTGTATACTGTAGGTTATAAATTTGTTTACAGTCAGTACAGAAATGGCAATGGATTACCGTGATTATGATGCTTTTTGAATGCTGTTGTATGTCTGGTTAATGACACTAGTCAAAAAAAAAGGTTTGCTTGGGAGGTGTTTCTTTTATTTTTCGTTTCCTGAAGTGCACTTACAAGGATGCTTTCGAAAAAACAAATGTAATAACTTTGCAAACACTAAACGTGCCTGTCGTCATCATAAGTGTTAGAGGATCATTTGGAAAACTTTTTATTTTAGTTCCACATGAATTTGGAGATTGTTGTAGGTTACAAATCAATTTTAAATGTATTTTACAGTATAGGTTGAAAGGTGTTGCATTAGAAGTGGTGGGGAAAACTGAATCTTTAGCTTTTTTTTTTTCAATCGGTTGTGTTGGTTTTAAGGGTGGCCACAACATTGCCGTTATGGACTTTAAAGTGTTCATATTACATCCAGAGCTGATAGAAACCAAAGTATGACCTTTGAACCCAGCAGTTTCTTCCATAGGTTTTGCTGTTCCTTAATGTTTAACAGATGCAGACAGGTTTTCCTGGAGCATTTAGAGATGTTGTGTGCTATTAATTGTAACAGGACGGTATTTTTAAGAAGGGATTTTTATTCTTTAAAACAACAAAACAAATTTGAACTAATGAAAAATATAAGACCTTTTTGTTTTGGAATATTCAGTTCTTTAAATCTTTATGCAAATAAAGATGTATTGATGATTGCGGCTTGGATATCTATTTTGTGTGTGTGTGTGTGTGTGTGTGTGTGTGTGTGTGTGTGTGTGTGTGTGTGTGTGTGTGTGTGTGTGTGTGTGTGTGTGTGTGTGTGTGTGTTGTTTACAGTATATAATCAGTGTTCCTCTTAAAATGTTCAATTCAACCCATGATTAGACCTGATGAATAGAACACTAATAGTGTGCTAAATCCCGCCTCCACTGCTTGTTTAGCCCTGCCCACCAGTGGTTCTTAAAGGATTAGTTTACCCAACAATGAAAGTTCTGTTATTAATTACTCACCCTCATGTCGTTCCAATCCTGAGACCTTTATGATCATTCATCGAAACACAAATTAAGATATTTAAGATGAAGTCCGGGAGCTCCCTTATCCTTCTTAGACAGCAGTGGAGATGGTTGATGTACAGTAAAGAAACCAAAACCATTGTCAATACTTTACATGCCTTCAGTGGTTTATCTGTAATCGTGTGAAGCTCCAAGAACACATTTATGCACCAAAAAAATAACTGATTTTAATCACCTATTTCCCACAGTAGTTTTCATTTTCTACAAGCAATATGATGCTTGCATATTGCGCTTCTGATCATACACTGACCCAACAAGAAAGAGAAGTTAAAAGTGAAGTCTTCGCCAACATGTCCAGCAAGTTTTTACGCAGCGGATGCCCTTCCAGCCGCAACCCATCTCTGGGAAACATCCACACACACACACTCATTCACTATAGGGACAATTTAGCCTACCCAATTCACCTGTACCGCATGTCTTTGGACTGTGGGGGAAACCAGAGCACCTGGAGGAAACGCGAAGGCGGGGAGAACATGCAAACTCCACACAGAAACACCAATTGAGCCGAGGTTCGAACCAGCAACCTTCTTGCAGTGAGGTGACAGCACTACCCACTGCGCCACTACTCACCTGGCACAACTCTGATGGTCATTGCAATTAAAATAATAGTAACCTGTGCATAAAAGGTCAACCAGGTTATGATGCCTGTTAAAGGTTTATATAGCATAATTACATTTTTAATTTAATGTGATCAAATTATTTTATTATCAACAAGCGTTTTTGGTATGTAGGCTAAAACTTACACTGAAATGCCGTTTAATTGGTTTCTGTAGCCTAACATGGGGAGAATGTACATGGTTTAAAAAAAAAATTGTGTTCTATAAGAAAAAATTACTTAATTTGACAATGAATGAATGTGAAAGCTGATTTTTTCAACCCATTTCAAACCAATGCTCCAACCCCTAATCAAACAAACCTAAACCAGCTAATCAAGCTCTTACTAGATAAACTAGGAACTTCCTGACAGGTGTGTTGAAGCAAGTTGGAGCTAAACTCAGCTGGACACCAGCCCTCCAGGACCGAGTTTGGACACCCCAGCTTTAGGCATACATCCATGTCAGGCGTTTACTGCATGGCTGGCATCAGTAGTAGTCTGACGACGGCTATTCATAGAAATAAATACAAAAGATTAATCTGAACTGTAATCATTTGTTAACTCTTTAATTAAACGTAAATCCGACAGAAACAAAAACAGCTGATGAAATGCAGCTCACAGCTCGCTTTCCTTGAAGTAATCGTTAATCAGTCTCAAGATGGCGCCAAACAGTTAACAACAGCGGCGTGAAAGATAAGTATTTTCCTCTATGGTATTTTCACTGTGCCTTTAGTACTAATAATATATAATATTAATAATAATATATTATCGTATAGTAATAATATATTTACTGACGGTCAAGATGTGAATAACATATATTCAAGCAAATGGTGTAAATCGGGTCACCAATCCTGGTCCTGGAGGGCCGGTGTCCCTGCAGGGTTTAGCTCCATCTTGCCTCAACACACCTGCCTGGATGTTTCAAGTATACCTAGTAAGATTAGCTTGTTCAGGTGTGTTTGATAAGGGTTGGAGCTAAAATCTGCAGGACATCGGCCCTCCAGGAACAAGTTTGGTGACCACTAAATGGTTAAAGATGCCTAAATACCTAAAAAATCAAATTTTGAGTTACAGGGTCAGTTGAATATTCTTACACCTGTAAACAGACTGGAAAATAAAATTCTTTCTCTACTAAGGACAAAAACAGATGGATATATAGAAATGTTTTCTTTTATAGGCTATTTATCTTTTTTTTATAATTACATATTCAAGTTTTAATGTCCTCGTTGCTAAAACCTAGGAAATTAGGCCTTCCTGTATAGCACTTTTACTTCACTTGATTTCAAAAGTTAAATGTGAATTGTTAACGCGAGGTTTCAAATGTGCCTTTCAGAAGCATTAAGTTGGCAGTGTTAACATTAAGTGGTGTGAAACTCAATCTTTCGCTTTCATTTTAGTTCAGTTGCGATTGTTGTAGGGCTACCGCAAAAAAATGTTGAAGATATCATGATGCTCCTCACAGAGTATTCAGATAGGCCATCATTATTCATTGTGGACTGTGGAGGATTATCTTTTCAAAACAAAAAATAAAAACTTAAGCATGTTTTTGTTTATTTGCCTTTTATAATGTGCATGCAAATACAATCCGATTTGTTTATCATTTAGAGTGATTAATAGTATGATTGTCATTCCACAGGCTTTTGCATTGTGTTATTTCTATACAGGTCAATGCATTAAAGTAAACTGAAACTGTAAAGCAAAGAAGCTTAGCATGTAAAATAAAACAATAAACCGAGGCTCTTTACATTGTATCAGCCAGCAGATGGCAGATTTCTCTTTTAAACAGATTATAATACATATCATCTGGCTAAGCATGTAATTTAAAGCTATACCAAAATTCATTTTTTTTTACTTTGAACCCCAAATAAGAAGCAAAACATAAAACATTTCACCGGCAACATATTAAAACGATCAACATCCATAAAAGAAAACATTCTTATGTGGAAAAATGCAAAGACATAATAAAAAGGTCTGCTAGAGCACAATGGTTTTGTTTTTTTACAACATTTGGTAAGACTAAAAGACTACAGACTGAATAATCATAAAGGAGGAAACTGATTGTAATTGTACTTGTTGAGAAGAAAACTAAATCAATGATATCTATAGCCAATACTGGACTTTGGTCATCTCTACTGGAGCTAGAAGTGGCTGGTGGGCATTTTCGCATGACCTGCAGGTGGGCCTCGAGGTCTAAAAGAATGAATAAAATAAAATTTGATTGTTACAGAAGCTGTAATTTATTTATTTCTGCAGAGTGAAACAAAGATATGCAAGACTTACTGCCTTTTGTAATGGTGGGGACATCGTCTTGTTCTTAAACCTAAAGAAAAACACAATTTTTTATTATTATTAATATAATGAAGATGATGAATATTATTTTATATTAATATATGTGTGGAAATGCATGATTAGATTGCAAATCTGTAAAGCTAATTCTGAACGAGTGACCTTGCACGATCAGTCCCTTCTTCATATGATTAGTATTAGATAATCATCATTAAAATCTTTAAAATAGAAATATGTTTATTCATGTTTTTTGTTTCACATTGTAACATTTGTTTCTCTGTGCTCATTCTGGAAGCAGTTTATATCTCCATCTACACTCAAAACATTTATTTTGCTGCTGGTTCAATTTACTTTACAATCAGTTGAAACAATACGCTTCTCAATTTATTTTGGACAACTTAATTGTTTTATGTTCAATCTGCTTAAATTTGTAAAATGATTAAGTTAACGTAATGTATTTGTGTTGGGACAACATGGAGGAACTGTGTGGAACCCAACATTTTGTACAGTGTATTGGCAAGATTAAAAATGTGCATAAGACTTACGGTTACAGTACACAATGGTTGCGATCAGCAGAACGAGGAAAAGTCCACAACCTCCGACCAGAGATGTGAATATCCAAGTCTCACATTTCAACATGGGCTTTGCTCCTGTTAAAAAAATTGACACCTCATAATCAATATTCAAGGCCTTAATATTATGTAAATATATCTAGTCAATAAGAATTGGCTCTAAAATACAACTCTAACAATAAAAAGTGTACATATTATTTTATAGAAGCAGGGCGACAAACCTTTTTCGTCACATACACACTGCTTTATCATCGTAGTCTTAACAACAGGCTTCAGTGTTGTTTGAATCATTTTTGGACCTTGTGTTACTGGATCTGAAAAAACAAAAAAAAATTTAATAAGCATTTTTTATCCTATTGTGAACTAGTTATGCAAAAAATAACTTTTAAAATTTAAGATCATAAATTAAACCTGACCCTGGAGCACTTGTATCTTGCGTTGCACGTTATTTTTTGACAATAGCCAAAAATATACATTGTATAGGCTAATATTATAATTTTTTTCTTTTATGCCAAAAATCATTAGTATATTAAGTAAAGATCAAGTTCTTTGAGGATATTTTTTTTACTGTAAATATATAAACTACAGTTTTGGTTCGTAACATGCATTGCTATGACTTTACTTAACAAACCCCAGAAATAGAAAACTTACACTCAAAACGTATATTTGCTGCTTGTTCAAACTATTTATATAAAATTAGCTAAATCAACACAAATCTTGAGTTTTTTTATGGTAACAACTTAATGGTATTATGTGAATTAAGATAACTTAATCAATTTGTGTTGGGACAACATGAATTAATATGTGGAACCCAGCAATTTTACTGCGTGTGTGTGATGTAAAAATCTTAATTTCTAAATTTTTTTTTTTTTTTTATCAAGGGTAATAAATGAATATGAAAATGAAGTGAGGTAGCAAAAATATAAAATGAATCGTTTTTGCTTCTCCAAAACAAGGCAAACATATTTTTACAGTGCTCATATCAATTTAACTGACAAATGCAGACATGGTCAGTTTTTCTGGTTTAACAATATCTAAAAGTGAATAATAAAAAGCCCACCTGGTACTCCTTGAATTTTAGTCACCTCTCCGAAGAAGAGTTTATTGTTGTTCATGGTTGCACAGACGTATAGTCCGCTGTCTGTCCTTTTTGCAAAATACTTAATTTTGACATTTAAATTACCGTTGCTGTCGATGTGCCCACTATATTTTTTCGAATTTGCATTATGCTTGACTTCCGTCTGCTTTGCGATTAATAAACAGTTTGCACCTGTACTGCTTATTTGAAACATGAATGTTATGGTGCCTGACGTTTTAGGGTTACAATTAACTTCTACGGTGCTATGCTCTTGATGGAAGTTTGCTGAGCATCCTGGAAACAGAAAATAAAAGTTTTAAATTCATGAAGGAACCAATACTATACAAAACAGAAATCATTTGTGTTTAGAAGTCAATAGAGTGAGGAGAACAGATATTTCATGCTGAATGCCTAATAAATAACAACGATTTAATCAGAATTCATATGTTGTGTCATAATATTGATGGTGTTTCAATGTTGAGAAGTTTATGCTTAATTTTTTAAAATGATAACAATAATAATTCAAAAAGTAGTACCTGCATTTTATCTACAATTAAAGATTATAAATCTGTTGTATATTAAAATGTGCAAATATTACATTTATCGAAGCTAAATGTGGCACCCTTTAACATGATCGTACACAATCTTTCGCTCCTATACACTTTTAACTTTTTAAAAACGTTTAAAATTAAAGTAACTACAATAAAATATGAGAAAATGTTCAACTCACCATAGAAGAGGGATAAAATCACACAAAATCCAGTGGATATTTGATACATTTTTTCCAGTTTCCAGCACAAGCATTCAAGATCTTGTTCAACAACAGGAACAAAACTACTGAAAGGATGCACAAAAAAAAAAAAAAAATCTTCCCGTCTGCCCCTCCCAATACTTCATTGTCACTGTACAAGCTCTAAGAAATTGTACTGAGGAAATTAAATTAAAAAGAACTTCATTAACGTGACGTAAAAATCTATTTTTAAAATATTATTTAAAATAATAATAATTAATGAAATAAGCTTGAAAAACCACAAACAGACAAATATGTTTAGAAAATTATGAGAGATATGTTGGACATAAATAATATTAAAAATGAATATTATAAAATATTTTTAAAAAATGTAAATAAAAAGTAATATTTAAAATAAATTGATATAAATAAATGTGAAATAAATATTTACCTTTGTAAAAACCTCACAAAAATTATTACAAATATAGATCAAGTAATTAGATACATTTTCACATAGTTTCAACAATTTTCAGTCTAAATTACAGTTTTTATTGTAGTGAATCTTTATATATTTATAATTATAAAAATATATATAAACATTTGCATAGACATTGCATAGCATAGAATAAGCTTAACTCTCTAAACGACAGATACTCTGCTAACAATTTTTGTAAATTACACAGTATTTAACTAAATATGAACAGTATTTTAAATGTAGGACAGTTATGCAGTATGCTACTGTATTTTAAACTGGCATTGTGGAATTTACTGCATATTTTACAGTAAATACATACACACATTTTTGCTGTAATTGATTTAAAGTAAGTTACTGGAGATCTGCTGCCAGTAAGTTACTGTAGATTCTACGGGAAATTGTTAACAGTATAGATAGATAGATAGATGGATAGATGGATAGATAGATAGATAGATAGATAGATAGATAGATAGATAGATAGATAGATAGATAGATAGATAGATAGATAGATAGATAGATAGATAGATAGATAGATAGATAGATAGATAGATAGATAATGTGTGAAACAAAAACATTTGGCTGAATGTGTACGATTAAATAGCGCTGCAGTATAAAGCAGGTGGTGGTTGTTTTGATACAGTGTCTGTACAGTGGTGCAGCGTGTGCTCTCGTGCACCTGAAGGGGGTCTGCAAGTACGAGCCTCAAGACTTTCATCATCAGACGGCAGGTGACACACACACACTGGCTGGGGCTGAATGTGCGCGAGGGGCCCTCTAAACGCGTTCACGCAGCTTTGAAATGGTGACGTTAGGTTGTACAAAGGCCATTATAAATGTATGCACGGAATGTTTTGGCATCCACGAGATGCATTTGTTTACTTTTGAAGGTCTATTTATGCTCAACAAAACAATGCAGATATTCGCATGCCTTTTATGCTTTTTTTGTCTCATTCACTTGCAAAAGTCCTTAAACCAGGAAATATATTTCCTTCTAGTGCTGCTATGCATGTATATGCCTTACAACAAAAGGGCGTGTGTGTGTGTGTGTGGCTGTGTGTGTGTGTGTGTGTGTGTATACATACTGCTTTTAAACTAAAAATAAGATTAAGGTAAACTTTTTTTGTACCTCTTGCTCAAAGTTTACTGACATCAGTCTAAAATATTGTCATTATCTAAAATCTGTGTTAATTAACTAAACTATGGGTATTTAAAATTGCAAAAGATTAAAATTCAAACTAGTTTGTACTTTGTATTTTTCTACTGTTACATAAAGTATATATTATTTTATCATAAAAAAGAGGCCAATTTTGTCAAAAGTATTACAAGTAGGCCTATATTAAAGTACCAATCCAGTACGTTAGTAAGAATTCTGAATTGATGCATGTATACAGACCTTGTTTACAAAAATACTTTTCTGCTTCTTCCAATGTCGTTTAATCATACAGGTCCTTTTGTCAGGAAATAAATTGTTTACAGATACATCTAGGACTGCACAATATATCTTTTCAGCATGGATATCGCAATGTGATCATACTGTATGCAATAGAAACATCGCAGGATATAGGAAATGTTAAGATTGATGCCTGGAATTGTATAATGATTTTAAAAACATTCAGGTATAAGAAATTGTACCATTTGTGTCCTTAACTACAATTAATTTTATTGAATTGTTTTTATCATTCAGTTACTGTAATTTAATACTGTTAGAAAAACATTTTATCTAACTTTATTCTAATTGTATTCAAATGGCAATATACAGTTGAAGGCAAAACTATTAGCCCCCCTTTGATTATTTTATTTTTTTTTTTTAAAACAGGTTTAACAGAGCAAGGAAACTTTCACAGTATGTTTAATAATATATTTTTTCTGGAAAAAGTCTTGTTCCATTTTGACTAGCATAAAAGCGGTTGTGAATTTTTCAAAAGCCGTTTTAATGTCAAAATTATTAGCCCCTTAAGCCATTTTTTTTTTTGATAGTCTACAGAACAAACCATCGCTATACAATAACTTGCCTAATTACCCTAACCTGCCTAGTTAACCTAATTAACCTAGTTAAGCCTTTAAATGTCACTTTAAGCTGTATAGAAGTGTCTTGAAAATATCTACTAAAATATTATGTATTGTCATCATGGCAAAGATAAAAGAAATCAGTAATTAGAAATTAGTTATTAAACCTATTATGTTTAGAAACATATTGAAAAAATCTGCTCTCCGTTAAACAGAAATTGTGGAAAAAATAATCAGGGGGCTAATAATTAGGGGCTAATAAATCTGACTTCAACTGTATATCACAAAATATAAAAAAAATTGCAATGTTACATTTTGCCAATATTATGAAGTCCTACACTCATGCATAATTTACAATGCTGTTATGCTTAATGTTATTATAGTTTGTTAGTATGCTTCTTTAAACTACAAACAAGAAAGTATGCATACTTTCAGTCCTCTGCTTATAGTTACTTGATTAAATACTGACAGAAATGTTTATTTGGCCTAAACAAGTCTGAAATATACTTGGAAATAATAATGAAGAATTCTTAGCACACTTGGCTTTAGTTTTGTTTACTTTTCTGATTAAGTAATCAATATGCTTTCCCCACATAATAGGAACCTTGGCTAGTAATATCCTACATGAAGTGCAAATGTATACAATAAATTCAATTAGAGAAAACCTACTTGTATATAAACCTATAGTTGTTGGGATTTTTGAAGTTAATCTGTGAAATGTTAACACGATAGTTCACCCAAAAATGAAAATGCACTCACTATTTACTCGCCCTCAAATGATTCCAAACCTGGATGAGTTTCTTTCTTCTGTTGAACTCAAATAAAGATGTTTTGAAGAAAGCTGAAAACCTGTAACCACCGACTTTCATAGTAGGAAAAACAAATACTGTGGAAAGTTAATGATTACAGGTTTCCAGTATTCTTCGAAATATCTTCTTTTGTGTTTAACAGAAGAAAGAAACTCATAAATGTTAGAAACAAATAAATGATGAGTAAATAATGACGGATTTTGGGTGAAATATCCCTTTAAGCTTGTTTGTGATATCTTTAAAGCTCAAAAATGTTTGCGGGTTCACCTGACGTCATACAAATTCCTATATAGATTCATAAAAAGAATGGAAAGATGTTTATAGTCTTGAAAGCTCTCTACTTCTCTTCAGGTCAGACCAGCGCTGTTTTTGTGAGCGGTGATCGGGTCCTCAGATCATGTGAAGGGTGAGAATGAAGAAAGTTCAGGAACAACAGCGCCCCCTTTCCTCCTGATGTCGCAACACGCTCTCTGACGTCATGTGCTCTGACGTCGCCTGGAAATTAACGTAACATTCGCATAGGTCATGAATATGGATAATGGAAATATGAGATTGTCACATTAGCAACAACTACAACAAAAAGGAACAAGTCTGCTGACGAACCTCATCAGGATTTAAAACACTGATATAAACACTGCTACAAACCATTTAAATGTATGTAGGGCCTATATAAATTTTAGTATAACACGCACACACAGAGATACAGATAAGCTGACGAATAGAAGCGCTGATTAAATTATTATCATTTAAGTTCTTTGAAACATTTGCGTTTTTATTAGAAAGTCTCATTTGAGTATATTATAATAAAATATATATTTTAAAATGATTACTTTCACATTATGTAATATGTATGACAAGTAATTAAATAAAGTATGAAATATATTTAACTTTTTTGCGTTCATATAGTCACATATTTGATTTGTTGTAGTCATATGTAGCCTATTCATTTTCATATGTGACCCTGAACCACAAAACCAGCCTAATGTAACATGGGTACATTTCATAAATTTAATATGGATTGTAATGTTTGTACCTTGTGTGAACATATTGGAACATATTTATGCAAATTTTCAAAAAGTTATGGGATGACATTTATGTTTGTCATTTAAAAAAGCCCTTAAACTTTGTAGTCTGCTAAAGGTATTTTTGATGATTAACCCCCTTGTATTGTATTGCATAAAAAATAATTTTAATAAACACATAAATAATATTTTTTTAAAACAGGTGCATTTGGGTATAGTTAAAAAACATTGTTTGAGCCAAAAAAATCATGTTCCATGAAGATTCTGTTAAGAGTAAAATGTCAAAAATGTATATTTTTAATTAGTAATGTGCATTGCTAAGCATTTAATTGAGACTTTTTAGCTTTTTTGTTTTAGGATTATTTGAATTTAAATTCATTTATTGAGTCTTTTTTTAATGTCAGATATCTCATAGCTTTTTTTTTTAAATGTTCATTTAAAGTCATCAAGACGAACGCACAGTGTGCTTTCAGAGATATAATAAGAGACAAGTTTCACAAAGAAGGTCCAAATGTTCTACAAAAGCAAATCAGATACAATAATAGCAAAATCGCTAACCATTAATTTACCAAATAAATAAATACACAATTTCAAGACCGAAATAATATTAAAGAAAAGAAAAGAAACAAGGCAAACATTCCATCTATAAGTAATAATATTGGTGTCTAAATTGTCACAAAGCGTCTGGAAAAGTACATTAAAAAAATAATAATATGTATATATATATATATATATATATATATATATATATATATATATATATATATATATAT